ACATTGCATATTTGACTGTATAAATTAAAGATTAATCCTTATTAAAGTTACAAAAGTTATTCAGTCAAGAGCAGTGAGAGATTTCCGTGTTGTTGCTGTTTGATTAACATTAAGAAAGTGCTGTCACTTTAAGAGAACGCACTGATCCAGTGCACTGATACAGTACGTTCAGCCGACTATGTCTGCTAGGATACTCACCAAGACGGGCATTTTTACATAATTTTTGTGTGAATTTGTCCATTCAAGCACAATACTTCACAGAGAGCTTAATATGTACACGCGTTCTGAGACGCGGCTTCACGCGCTTCGGATGAGCGACCACACAGATCTTCTCACTGCGTGCACAATCCCCAGTTCAGCCCAGGAAGGGCTCCTGATCCCCAGTTTAGCACTCCTGATCCCCAGTTCCGCCCAGGAAGGGCTCCAGCCCCCGAATCCAGCTCAGAGCGCCCTCCAGTGCCCGCTCCTAGAAAGCGCCCTCCTGTGCCTGCTCCTAGAAAGCGCCCTCCAGTGGCCGGTCCTCGAAAATACCCGCCCTCCTACCCGCTCCAGCCGCCTCCACCGCTGTCGTCTGGCAGCCCCTCTGCTCACCTCAATTATCTGTTTTAGGGTTTCATGACACTCAGTTCACACAAAAAATAAAATTCTGTCATCATTTAATCACACTTAATTCATTCTCAACCTGTATACTGTCACACCCCTGTGGACTGTTGATTGTGGTCTCTCCCTCTGTGTCCTTATTTGGTTGTTCCTGTTCTAGTTATTAGTTAATAACCTCATTGTGCTCACCTGTCCACCCCTCGTTATCTGCCCTATATCTGTTCCTGTCTCTTGTATTCGAGTTTGTCGGTTATTGTGAATGTTACCCCGAGTGTGTGTGTCTCACCTACCTGAATCTGCCTTGTTGTGTCTACATTAAAAGTCATTATTGGAATCCTTGTCGTCCTCGTCGTCCTGCCTGCCTCCACACACCGTGGCGTGACAATATGGTTAACCAGCACAGGCTAACCAGACTAATGATCACTGACCTTTCTGCTCCAAAACTATGACTCAGACCAGTTCTCAGAGCACAGCGATCAGCCTGAGGAAAGGTGTTGCACATCTGTTCTCTGATGTTTCTATTTTTACTGTCAGTCTGAGAAAAATTTCCCAGAGGGCAAGAAAACCCATACTGATCAAATCTCATATGGAAAATATCACTTATAATATCACCGAATCAAACATGCTTCATATTTGGGATGACTTCTACGCAAGGGATTCACAAACCTTTTTTCCAGCCCCTTAGACATAAAATATTTACTTTAATTTCCTCTTGAAATTTTAAGTTACTATTTCAATGATTTCACAACACATTCACAGATGTCAGTTAATGATCATGACTTGCAAGTAAATAGATAACATTTTTATCCTTTTTTATTATTATTCTTTTATTTTGACTTTGAAAATGGACTTTGTACATATATTACTGGTGTTTTAGGAACCCCATCAGATTGAATGATGATTGTAATTATAATAATAATATAATAAAACAACAACAATAATAATAATAATAATAATAATTATTATTATTATTATTGTATTATTATTGTTGTTGTTGTAACTATAAATTAAAGACAGAAAACATATTACTGTAAATTACAATTTTTACTGTAAAATAAAAATGAATAATATATTAGTAAATATATATATATATATATATATATATATATATAAAATTATAATAATCATAATAGTTTTCTTGACACAATACTAATATTGTATTAAATTCTTTCTAAACATTCAAACAGTCAAGCTTTTATTTTGGCAGAATACTAATGAGATGCTGTAACTATTTAGAAGTTTATGCAATGTTGCAAATTATGCGAATGTGTAAATAAAGTAAGCCTTAGCGCAAATGTTAAAGTCGCAGCACATGCAAAACTATAGTTGACCGCATTTTGTTTTTTCTTTTTTCGTAAACCAAGCTGATAAAAGCATCAGATCATCACACAGTGCTGCGCTTCACTCTGAGATGCAGTGCAGCAGACTGTACAGTTATTTGATTAAATCACAGTCTTTGATTTGATAATCACACTGAGCTATATCGCAATTATCGCACAGCCTCATTTATTTTCATTTGACACTTGATATAATTAATAACTAAATTTTCATCAGGAATTTTCATTGCCCTGAGCAATACACAGAATAAACGACAGCTAGTACATGCATAATTTAATGCCATGACTTTATGAATTTAAGACTTATGCTCCGATTTAAGATCTCTTTAGGCCTTAATTTGTGGAAGTATGAATTAAGACTTTCAGACCCATGACTTGATAAGATACAAAGCAGCTACTGAGCTACAATGATAGTTGTTATGTCTGTAAAATGACCCGTGTTTCCTGGTGTTTCAGTGCTGTGGGTTGCCCGTATTCTGACATCAACCTGAATAAGGACTCGGTTCTGCCGGATCGCTTGAGCGGAGAGATGCCGGGAAGCGGAGTGGGCCGGCCGCGCAGAGCAGAACCAGACACAGAGATTTCAGCTGACGCTAATGAGTGAGTGTTCATTTCTCTGATGGGGTCTGCTGAAATATTTAAAATGCTCCTATATGATGGAAAACCCCTTAAATAACAGTTTGATGTACAGTACTGTGTGGCATGCAACTCCCACTCCAGCCCACCCAAACTGCAGAACTGACTGGGAAATATTAATGATTATCACACCATGACTGCGTGATGTTGAGACACATCTTAAGTGACTCATAAGCAATTGTTACAAAAGCTGCAAACATTCATCGATGTTCAAGAAGGTAATGTAATGCATCAAGAGCCGGGGGTGTAAACTTTCATCTTTTATATTTGTGTCAATTCTGCAAGAGGTTTATAAACTGGGAATACTATGCACATTTATGGTACACTATGCAAATTTATGCATCTAACTGCATATGATTGCCCACATTAACACATCTATACCTGTTCAGTCTGAGTTCGTTTACATTGTTTTAAAGGTACAGTAGCAAAAACAGCCGTTTCATTCTAGTCTACAGCAGACGTGAGTGGCATTTTGTGATGCATTAAAACTAAATGACTTACGTTATAATTAATGAAGCTGTCTACACTCTTGAGCTGCACCTTCAGTTGACAATTTAAATAAATGTCTTATTCATTACCTCAAAGTAGGCTCATGATGTTTCTGGCCTACTAATCTGAGTGGTTCTTTATGTTGCTAACCATGTCCAAACCCGAGTCTGAGACTTCAGCTTGAGTGTCACTCAAATCTGAACAGATTTTAAAACACTAGCCATCATAGACTTGCTGACTTTGTAAATGGTTACAGAGAAAAAATTGGGCACCATGCACTAAATGACTGAAGATCACACACTACCTAGTTTCATGTTGCCAGATTTTTGACTGACGGCATACGGTTTGGTCCCTGTAGCCGCTTCAGCTGACCAAGAAGTGCTAGTTAGGTGAGAAGAGGTCGTTTGGATGACATGTAAAGCAACCAATAACAGTTGACAACCGGTGCGCAACCATACTGTACATCATCCATTCAAGGTCGGCTCGAAAGTTAAAGCAAATTATGATGCAACAATCTGCATTACAAACACATACGAAAATAGTTGGTGATGTCTGTAAAGTTTGTTCTCGGAATCTTAATTCATCTAAAACAAATAAGCACTGATTATTTAAATGGTCTGCTCTGTGTCAACATCTATTCCAATCAGTTATTTCTGATACACATCTCTCCACTCTTTAGTGCCCAAAAGCAATTCAGGTGATCCGAACACATTATTAATTCAGCTGGTTGTGATGTCAGCACCTGTACATTCATATTTCTGTTATATTTCCATTTCCCATATCTCATAGGCAAACACACAAAAACACATTCAGCTAAGTGCCTCAAACAAAACTGTTGAATATCTTTAAATGTTTCTAAACCTCCTAACCCACCTCATTTTATTTTAGTTTAGTTTTTTTTTTTAGTTTGTGAAGTTCACCTTCACCTACTTTTAGAAATTATTAAATTTTTGGTGCAAGAAACTTGAATAGCAAATAGTGGACACAAAAGGAAAATTAGACACAAGTGTACAACAAGGCCACTGTTATAATTGTAATCTGGAATTTGAATTGGTATATTTATTTATTTATTTATTTTAAGGTGAGCTCAGTAAAGAGTAACGCTTGCTCTTGTAAGTAAATTAGCATATTTGCACTTGATTTGCTTATCATATCCTGTCAGGCCCTGAACAGCACACCTGTGCTGTTTGAGATAAAACTGAGGACTTTGTCACGTCTGGCCTCTTTCACACCTTCAGTGAAGTGTTCATTTATCACTGTCTCGCCTCTGTTTCTCTAGCAAACCCGTCACCTCTGTCCCATCACATCTGGATAAACCCAGCACAGCAGCCGCTGCCATGGAGATGCCGGTGAAGAAGCCCGTCGGCACGGAGACCAAGCGAAGGTTAGGTTCAGTCACTCTCTTGGTGATTGATTTGGCATAAACAGTTAACTTTTATATTGCTATTCTCATTAATGTAATAAAGTGAATTTTATTAACTCTTTCC